CGGACCTGCCGAGAGGGCGAGACTGAGTCACGAATCGGCCCGGGCACGGGGGAGCTCAGACGCCAACGCCAACGCCGACGCCTACGGCGACGGCGACGGCGACGGAGGGGCGCGTGAGGCGGCGGTCGCGACGGCGACGAGTGGGCCGGTGCTGTTGTCGCGCACCGGCAGACGCAACAAAGCCGGCTTCCTCAGCTCCCGCAAGCAGCACTTTTCGCAAGGAGACGAGACACGCCCGCACCTCTCTCGCTCCGCCCTCCCGCAGGACCTGGGCTCGGTCGACCCGACGCCGACGGAGACGGCGACGCCGGGCACGGGCCAGGCGCGCAAGGCCTGGACAGACGACTCGGACTCAGCGGCAGCGGCGCAGGACTCGAGTCAGCCGGTCTACGCGATCCCCAGTCGCCCGGCCCTCCGGCGTCAGACGAGCCCACCGTCCGCCGGCGAGCCGCCACAGGCTCGAGTCCCGCAGCCCGGCCTCCTCCTCGACCCGGCCAGCCTCGCGGACGCGCGGTTCCCCTCCAATCCGCGACACGCCCAGCTCCTTCTCATGCGCGGCTCTCGGTCCGTCGACTCTGAGGCCGGACAGTCGGCCGCCCTCCGGCAGTACCAGGCTCACCTGAACAGGCTTGTCGAGCTGGAGCGTCTGCAGCAGCGACACAATTTGCTGCTTCAGGCTCAACCGAGGCAACCGCCTCATCAGCTCCTCCACTTTTCACACGCCCAAAAGCAGCCTCCGGTCTCGGCCCAACTTCAGGGCCGATTTTATCCACAGTCCATGCCCGCCTCTTCTCTCTGGCCGCTCCAGCCGTTGTCAGCCGGCCTTGCTCCTCTTCCATTCGAAGTGGAGAAAACATACGAGGCGGAAAGGGTCACTCCGAAGAGGCAGTTCTCCCTCGATCGGAGCATACCGCCCAGAGCTAATGCCATCAAAGTGGCGGACATGAGTGTAAGTAGACTTGCCTTTAGTTAACCCATATACTACTGATGAAATGAAAGTAACGAGGCGGTGGTACCAATGGGGCTGATACTTGCCTACCACCTAATGCGTCAAAATATACCACTTTCTGTCATTTTAGACAAATTTCCATGATAGTATGGTGATTAGTGTGATCCCATTCACATTGAGACAACGTTGAGTAAGTAGAATATTTGTTTGAACCGAAAATCGGAGGTGGATTGCCTTGAAGCAGAATGTGCGAATAAGTCCTCTTCCAAACGAGAAAGCATCCGATTCGTTTCGTATGCCTAATATTACAATCCTAATGAAGCATGTAGGAGGTTGATGCATGCCTCCTTGTTGAGCTTACTTCCATTTCGAGTGAAAGAGTTTGGTGAAGAGATTCGAAAGTCGATTCCACCAGAAGACGACGGCGGATTCCTTTTGACCAGCTGTCGATTTTTTTACTGGAACATTCATGTTGCTGCTGTGCCCGAGGTAATATCCTTCAATTCCGTTGAAAACGTGCTAAGCTTTCGTCCGTCATATGACGGACATCATCAGAGCAAGGTATCAT